GATCTAGCAAATCATCTATACACGGTAATGACTCTGCATTCTTAATCGTGATGGCGTTCAGTCCCCTGTAGTCAATACACATGCACAACTCTCCCTCCTTTGGGACAAACAGAACAAGTGCGCCAAACGGCGATGAACTAGGCCGGATCCATCCTTTTTTTAGGAGCTCATCTAACTGTCTGCGTAGCTCCTCTAACTCTTTGGGAAACATCCTGTAGACTGCCCCCTTTGGCATTCTACTGCCAGGTTCTATTTCTATTCGGTGCTGGATCGGTCTGGGCACTACCCCTGAAGGTGGTTCAGATAGATCCTTATATTCTTCCAGCAGACTAGCAATAGCAGGATGGACCTTTTCTTCCTCCTTAGGCTGATCGGACACTGGCCTAACATAGGCCACGAACACCTTCTCTTCAAGCTGCTCCTTTCGCACAAGCCTGGCGAATGCAGGAGCGCTGAGGCAGCAATGGGCAAGGGGATTATCTACCCCGGACTCGTGGAACAGGTGGACTTTCTTGACTTCCCCTGACGCACTAGGGAGCCTACACTCATGCTCTTTGAGGTGAAGTGTGGCTCCTGCTGCCTCTCCCCAATCTGTGCCTAAAACTATGTCAAACGGGAGACTCTCTTCTACAAGGAGGGTCAGGGAGTGCAGTACCTTCTCTACCTTGTCATCTTTCTCCAGGCGGAAGTAGGCCTGGACCCCCTCAACATACTCTTCCACGCGCATCCTGCTATTGTCTACGAGGATGCTGACTACAGGCTCTTCTAGTTGCTGGACCTTTAGGTTCAACTTCAACTTCCTCAGCGCTTTACGACTAATATAGCTCCTAGTCGCCCCGCTGTCTATGAATGCTCCCACTCTAGCTCTAAATATCTCTACATCTGCGAGGATCAGCTGTCCTTTACTATCCTTCTTCATCATGGCCCAGGCTTGCCTCCTCTCTCTCAGTTCATCGGCTAAGCCTGTGAGGGAAGCGCCTAGAGAGACCCTAACACAAGCGATCTATGGACAACTTACTAGACGCAGGCCTGCAACCTCTGCCATGGGAATATGTTCTACTTCGCTGGCACGCTCAGATCCACATACTCCTGAGGTAGGGGCAGTTGCGACCCCTACCGACGCTTGTCTTTTGTTGGCCCAACTGCAGCACGGTCCCTATACTTAGGACAAAATTTGATAATGCGGCCCAGGTCCTCGCAGAATACGCATTGAGAACTATTAATGCGTTCTTGCCATACCTTTTGATCTATACCCAGGTCTAACCAAGGTCGGCCTTCAGGCCGGCCTGGATGCCACCTTCCTTGTCTGGGGGGTGACCGACTAGAACTCGGACGGTTAGACGGGGGACCTCCCCTTCCTCCCGCTTGGCGGTTGCCATAGCTGCCAACCCCCTGGCCGCCCTGCCCTCGGCCACCCTGGGCCCGACCACTTGGGCCGGACCGTTGTCCTCCTTGCGGCCTCCCTCCAGCCGCGACAGCAGCGTAGGTTCTCCCCTGGCCTGCGCTATTGTCCTCCTCCTCTAGTCCCCACTCGATGTTAGAGTAGGGAACCTCCTCTGCACCACCTTCCTTCAACGTTAAGATCCTTGTGCCAGAACGTGGTAACTGACGACGTAGGGACTATCTTTGGCCTTGATTTGGCCTGAGATGGTGCGTCCCTTCCACGTTTTTCCCTTAGATCCTTGTGCTAGAACGTGGTAACTGGCGACGCTTGGGCGGCAAATGCAACTGCCTCCCGACTAAGTGTATCGTAAGTCATGCCTTGCTGATTCTTCTTCTCGAAGAAATGTCCCTGAATATTTTCAGGCAGGGCCCGGTAGAAGAGGTTAAGGAGTTGCACATCAGTGACTCCATGCCCAGGGACCGCAATCAGTTCGTCCATAGCGGACTTTAGCGCATGGACACTCTTCCATTGGCGAGTGTGGATCATTTGGAGTTTGTCAGAGGCCTAAAGGCCCCGCGTGACATCAGAAAATCGCTCCCTGAGGGCTTTTAGGAAGTCGGAGAGGGGTGTCAGTCTGGAGTATGTAACCATATCGATATCGCAGTTGGCAGTGCGGGCTAGCGACCTAGCAAAGCTAGTCGTTTCGTCTCTAAGGGCCTGGAAGGCCACCAAAGTGTGGTCTTCAGGTGTGACTCCTTGCAGATACAGATAGGAGTGCACGTTGGCTTCCCAGTTATCAAAATCTTCACCCTTCTTCCCACTGAAGGGTTCAGGAAATCGGACCTTGACTTTCTCGCGACGTGGTGGGGCCGGCTCCTCTTCCTTAGGGGCTGCTAGCTTGGCGCCTTCAATGGCGCCAGTACAAAACTCTCGGGTCCTATTAATCGCAATGTGCACTTCAGTCAACAGGTGTTTCATCATGTTGCACGCAAAGTCCTTGAACCCCGCGCGTATCGCGTCTATCTTGATGTCTTGACTGCGTTCGTACTGCATTTGTTCCCGCTGTGCGACTAATAAAGCCTCTACACTTTGGATCAACGTATCTAGCTTGGTTGCTAGCTCAGTCTCCGCTCAGATCTTCCCCATCCTAACTTCCGCCGCTCTTAGGTCCTTGTCCGCCCTCTCTGCCGCTTCCAATCGCCTTACCCTTTCTTGGGATAACCGGTATCTCCACGCCATCCGCTGTTCCTCCTCCTTCGCCCCTCTCTTTACTGGATCCCTCTCTGCTTCAATTTGCCTCCGGGCTGCTTCTTTTTCTTCCTCGGATACAACCATCTCAGCCTCCTGGTCTTCCCCTAACTCCAAATGCGCGGCCCATTCATGCGCCCTTTCCGCAATCTCCGCGTCTTTACTTGTGCTTCCTCCTCTTCTCCTCTCTAGCGGTCTTTCTTCTTCTTTCTCCACTTCTTCTTTTTCTTCTTCTTCTTCCGCCTGAATAGCTGCCATCTTCTCCTCCTGCTCCTTCTTCCATTTTTCCATCTCCTCCTCCATCTGCCTCTTCTTTGCTTCGTGCTCCTCCAGCAGCGCCAACATCTTAGCCTGTCTGATTAGTTCCCTCTTCTCCATCTTCTCTTTCTTTTCACGCAGAAGGGTGGCAGCCCTCTCCTCATGCTCCTTGCTGTAGGGGGTGGTAACGGTTCCGGATATAAGGGTCACCATGCTGACAGCGCACAATTAACAACAATTCCACACCTCAACGCTTAGACTGAACAGGTTACTTCTACTTCGGGGACTTGGTTCACTACCCGAACTGAACTCACGGTTCTATGACCGCACACACAAAGTCCTAGCAACCTAGACAGTAGTGACAGGGAGATAGGACTGGCTGACCTTGACAGACTTTATGCCAGCAAGTACCGGGGTAAAGGTACACACTCACGGGGTAAGGGATAGGCCAGGCTTGGAAAGATAGTACCGTTTGTCTTCTTGCTCCAGCTGGGTCAACGCTCCAGTCAACGGTCTTGGTCAACTTCGTCGGTCAACGCTCCTGGTCAATGCGCTAGGCAGCTCTGGTCATGCTCAATCAATGCCCTGGACAGCCTGGTCAACGCTGGTCAATGCCTGGTCAACACCCGTGGTCAACCTCGATCAACATCTGGTCAACTCTCCCGATCAACCTTCTGACCTCCCGGCTATGGTGGACTTCCTTCTCCTTCACCTCAGCTATGGCTGACCTTGTCTCCCTCTTCGTCATTGTCTTCTTCCTTTCTTCCCTCCGCGTCTCTTCTTTCTCCCTTTTTGATGTTGGTCTTCTTCCCCGAACTCAGCAGCTATGGCTACCGTCCCCCTTCCTCTSTCTTCCTCTCTCTCTCTCTCTGTCAAGCTCCGGCTATGGCGGCTTCTTCCTTCTTCCTTGTGTGCTGCAGCTCCGCCGGCGTGGACAATGGGTACCAGCTCCGATACCAGTGCAATCAGACTCAACTCTGGACTTGCTCACAACATGCACACTTGAGAACCGATGGCAAAACTGAACTCAACAATGAACTTGTCTTAAACTCAATCTGAACAACTGCACTACTTGCGGCTATGGCCGCCGAACACTGTCTCTACCACCAGCCTCACTCTCTCCCTCACTGTCTCATGCGTGCACGTACGAGGATCACCCTGAATGTCCCCACTCAGCGCAGCCTCACACACTCTGAACACTTGTCTTCACGAACAGCTGGGCGGCTATGGCCGCCGTCGTCTTCCTCCTGCTAGCTATGGCCGCCGACGTCTACCCCACTGGCCAACTATGGCCGCTGTCTTCTTCACTGCCCACTTCGTCTCCAGGCACCTGCAGACCTCCATGCACAAGACACCAAGGCAGCTCTTCCGCATAGCTCACAGGCAAATGAATGAAGAACGCTGCCTGTTTATTTATACTTCTTCGGAGGTACCCGGACGCTGCCTCCAGACCTGTGAGCCTGGGCCAAAACGTGTGGCCCAGGGAAGCTTCCAGACGTTTGGCCTTCTGGGCCAAAACGTGTGGAACTCTCTGCGTGCTCCAGAACCTTCCCCACGTGAAGCCCTTACCCAGGTACATGCTGGCTGGACCACCTTACAGAACCCTACGGACTTCTAGAACCTACAGACTCTACAGACTTTCGACAGACTCAGTAGAGACTTCTAGAACAGACTCTCTAGGCCTATTGGTAACAGATAGCTGCTAATCTACGGACCTAGGGATCAAGTCCTACTGGCCAAACTACAGACTAACCTAAGCCGTAGGACAGGTTTGGGGATCGAATCCTACTCAGGTCACGGGGTCTATGTACAGGTACAGGGTAGGTCTAGGGATCGAATCTCACTCACACAGGGTCAATGTACAGGGTTAGGGCACAGGTCTAGGGATCGAATCTCTGTGACTGCAGTACCAGGTCAACTGGGTGAAACCGTTTCACGTACGGACATACAAACGGACAGATATACATGCTTACATGCATAATACATCATAAGAAAGAACTTACATACATAGACACGTACGTAGACATAGCTCCATGTAGACATACAGATTCGTAGTATTCATACACGTCTATATTTGTATATGTGCGGTCCAAGGAACATAGACACACACCTGGTCCTTATACACATTAACCCGGATCAGATTACCAGACTTTGCTCTAACTTCAGTAGTTTTGTGCTGAACGCCGACCTGCAAATCACAGCCAATGCAGTGAAAGCCAAATTATTATTAAAATTAAAATTAAAGATCAAAACACTGTAGACTTTCCTTCATGCCGGACTCTTAACCCACCACTGCCACAAAAACCTATTCCGTCAAATTTGCACCAAGCCTGGCCTTGCCAATCATTCGCAACCTTTTTCAGAATTTATGTCATTGGAAATGGAAACTGAAAATCACCGAGTCTCAGGATGATTGTCTTCTCTGATTTCGTCCACAAACCGGAATTTGTAGAAAGGACACGTGCAATGCGGCCAGGTCCTCTTTTTTTTTTCCTTACCATTTTTGGAAGTATTAAGTTTTTTTTCTTTTTTTTTTGGCATTGTAACTTTTGAAACAAAAACGAACAAAAAAGAAAAGTGAAGTTAGTGAATGGCATTTTGTGAATGTAGAATCTGGACGTCCAAGTTCGAGTCTCGACAGTTCATGAATGGTGTCTGGAGTGCTCGCTCCATTACACAACACATCCAAAATGTCGGACTTTAGGAATGAACCTGGTCCAGAAAGCTTCCAAATGCATGTGACTTTGCCGCATCTGGATGTCAGATGGATGAAGTTTGAAATTATTTCAATTTATTTGTTATTTGTACTTTCTAAATTTAGCGCACTGAAGGACAATGTTCTAACTTCCCAGTATGTTTTTCCAACTTCGGGGTTTTGTCCTTCAGTGGGCACCGGCATATTTGATGCGTCATACCAACAATTGAAAGGCCTTCCATGAATTCAGGCCCCAAATTCGGGTCTCAGGGTCAGAAGTGTGGTCAAAAGAGGCCGAGTTCGTCAAATTCAGAAAAGGCACAGTCGGGTTTCCTGAGCAGTCCAGTCCAACAGGCACCCAACAAACAGTCACATCTTAGGGGCAGGAGTCACGTCTAATAATGAAAAGTCATATTGAAGAGTCACATCCCATGATTAAAAGGGCAGTTCTACAGGCAAAAGTCATGTCCCAGAGGCAGGAGTCACAGTCCACAGTCAAAAGATATTTTCACAAGTGAAGAATTATGACTCAAAAGCCCAAGCAGCAGCAGACCAATGGAAATTCGGGAAGGTTCCAGGCCTTGACATTCAGAAGCAGACAGGCCGTGGGGATGTGGTACAGGAACCAGTCAGGCCCCAGAAAGCAGAGGCTGGCACAAGTTGAAGCGCATTCCACGCAAGAAGTGCAGAAGTGCTGGTGCACTTGTGCGCTGTAGTGAAGGGCAGAGCACTGAAGCCAGAGTGCTGTGCTAAGGGAGAGAGAGAGAGGAAGTGTTAGCGCTGGCAGGGAGAAGGCAGCCATAGCTGCGCCAGTGCAGAATGTTAGTAGTAGACTTCAGATAGTTAGTAGGTATATCAGTGGGTGTATTCAGAGTAGATTCTTGAGTAGTAGATGTGTGAGTGCATGTAGTAAGGAGAGAAGACACGGTGAGGTGGTAGACAGAGAGAAGATCAAGATAGAGAGAAAGAGTTCCGGAAGAGAGACATGCCTGAGTAAAGATACGGGATACTTGGGTTGCACTGTTGAGCGCTGGTGATTGAAACTCTTCATCGCTCATATGTTAATTTGTTGAGATTATAAGATGCGCAACCTGGTCTTCATCTTTCTGGTCTCCAGTGTGAAAATTTGTGTGATCTCATACATGCATGTGGTGTGATTGTGTGCGCTCACTGGTGTTGAACTAAGAGGTTCATTGCAAACTGGTATCGGAGCAGTTGCTCGCTGCATCCACTGGACGTCGCTGACAACGATTAAGGCCGGCGAGGAGGGAGATAAGAGAGTGAGTGGAGTGGGGAGAAGACTGACAAAGGGGGTAGAGAAGTAGGCCGAGGAAGAGGGGGCAGTTGAGTGGTGAATACGTACCTGATTGCGACTGCGTTGGAGCGTTGGAGCGGCCGTGGAGCTTCATCAACGGAACGTTCATTGGAGTGAAGTGCATACCCCCTTTTTAACCTGTATTGCTTGCTGATTTGTCTTGGTGTTTGGAACCTCCCTGACCCTGGTATCGCTGCTGCTGGGCTGGTCTAAGTTGTCACACACTCAATTGATTAGAGTTAGCAACCAGTCCGTTTGTTGAAAAAAAAGGAGGTATATACATATATAGCTCTGGGGAGGTATTCAGCAGTCAGCTGTAGTCAGACCCACTCTTGAGTTAGTAAACTAGTAGCTGGGGTAAGGTCTAAGTGGTGAGGAGGTGGAGGCCGCTTACCTGTGCTTCTAGTCACCATGGACGACTACCCCATGTTCTCACTTCTGGCCCTGCCTGTGCTCTGGGGCCCCCTCTTTCGATTCATCTTCCCTCTTGGCTTCCAGCGGACTTTCTGTTCACACGCGGTGTTAAGGTCTGGGAAGTCAACACAAGTAAATACAGCTGAGGTGCAGGCAGAGATAGATCGCCACCTCGCTGAGAAGAAAAAGGAAAAGGAAGAAAAGAAAAGAAAGGAGGAGGAGGAAGTGAAGAAAAAGAAAAGATGGAGAAAGAGATGAAGGAGAAAGAGAGAAAGATGATGGAGGAGTTGAAAGAAGAAGAAGAGGGAGAAGAAAGTGAAAGGTTGATAAGAACAAGAACCCAGCAGACAGAGGAGAAGGCTGAAAGAAGCCATGCTGGGGAAATCAGGTTGTTGCAGATGGAGGCGATGGATTGGATGGGACAATTCGGGTATCAGACGGAGATGCTGGAAGAGACCGAGGAGGAGAAAAATGCCTTTGTGCTCAAAATGGCAGCGGCAGCAGATCAAGAGGAGAGAGACTTGTTGATAAAAGAGAAGAAGGCCGAACTCGATAACAAGTTGGTGGCTGCAAAAAGGCAGGAATATAATGATGGAGGAGTAGGGGGAGAGGTTGCACGCACTGCTGAAGGAACAGAAGGGAAAGCAAGCTGCCACAGACGAACGGTTAGCTCTCTTGACTGACACCGTCCTCCACACTAATGAACAACTCGCTGCCCTCCATCGATCCGTTAGTAAATTAGAGTTCCATCAGAGAGAATTTGAGGGAACTTGGAATAACTTCCTACGCACATCCTGTCACCAAGTAGATGACCGAATCTTTGGATATCTAAAGCAATTAGATGAAGCCCTCACCAAGAAGACAACTGACCCTGCTGTAGTAAGAAAATTGAAGATTGGAGGCAGGGGAGGAGAAGGAGGAGATGATAGAGATGATGGGGATAGGAAAGGAAAGAGTGCCAAGAAAGAGAAAGACGGAGAAGAGGAGGAATCCGGGCAAAAGATGAAGGTTGAGTTGCCTTGGACCTATACGGGGAAGAAAGAAGAAAGTATTTTCCACTGGGAGGCGGTTATGGGTACATACCTGTACGCACAAAAGATTATGTACTGGGACCGGGTGCTAATGGCAGGTTCGTGCATGGCAGGGGACACAATGAGTTTCTTCATCTCTTTAATGAAAGAGGCTGGCTGCACAACCATGGTAGAGTATTCTCAACAGATGTGGATGGAAGACTTCAAAGCCCTTAGAGAAAGATTTGAAGGAAAGAATCTGGCCCGTGGAACAAAAGTTGCCTTACAAGGACTCTGGATGTGAGCAGACTGTCAACCTCCCCTCGGACAATGTTTTAAATGTGGTGACCCCGACCACATAGTTCTTTTTTGCCCTGAATATAGGTACCCAAAAGGGAACGACCAGTAGAGGTTGCAGTTGCCGTACAAGGACTCTGGATGCGAGCAGACTGTCAACCTCCCATCCAGAGGTCCCAATGGCAGAGATTGAGACGGAAGTTGGGCCCCACCTAGTTAGCTGTCCAGAAGTTGCTTGTGTCAGGACTTCTCTAGGTGGTTCCCTCGCAAGTATAGGTGACGAGGTGATCACTCGCCACCGTGCTTGGGCCGAGATAAAAAAAAAGAAAGGGCAGTTGCTAATTGTTGATGTAGAGGCTAATAAAGTGAGAGTGGACGTGTTAATAGATAGTGGGTCACCGTGCAGTTATATAAGCAAGAAAGGGCGGCATAAAATGCACCTAGGGCTGAAGGTCCAAAAGTTAGACCAGCCTGTTGTAAGTAAGTTAGCGGATAACAGAGAAATGATAGTAGACAGCTATGTTGAAGGGGTCAGGGCATACTTCCGGTTGGAGGCAGGGGGTAAAGTGGAACGAATTTTGCACTCCCTGACACTCTTAATGGAAGACAATCTCCATTTTGACATGATCTTAGGAACTAGTTGGGGCGAGGCCGTAGATGCAAACATCAAACTGGGTGAGCATGAGTGTTATATTCCCAGTCCCCAACGTGGAAAAAAGAAAGTACGATTGTTTCATGCATCTGATGCAGAAAGTAGCTTAGCCCATTGTTATATGAGTGCCTCTGCATTTGCCCGACATGTGGCCAGGAATGGCCTTGCAGATCAGGTATTTGTTGCGTATGTGCGTCCGGTGAGTGAAGAAGAAAGAGAGGTAGAACCTGTTTCCCCCGAGCTACAAAAATTTCTGAGTGAGTTTGTAGACGTGGGAGAGGCCCCAAGTGGAGTAGTCGAGACTCGAGAGAAAGATCAAGAACCAAATCGACCTTGAAACCGGTAGTAAAATACTCAAGGGCCCGATTTATAGAATGCCTCCCATTGAATTGGATGAACTGCAGAAGCAACGAGATGAGTTCTTAGAAAAGGGTGGATTAGACCACGTTCCTCACCATTCGGTGCCCCAGTGCTATTCGTACCGAAGAAGGGCGGCGAATTGCGCATGTGCATAGACTACAGAGGACTCAACGCTCTAACTGTGAAGAATGTGAAACCGCTGTGCAAGTATTTTTAAAAAATCGATTTGAAATCCGGCTACCATCAGATTGAGGTAGAGCCAAAAGACCGAAATAAGACGGCTTTCCGGACTAGGTACGGAAACTACGAGTTTGTCGTAATGTTGTTTGGTTTAACTAACGCACCTGCAACCTTCCAAAGGTGTATGAATGACTTATTCCGTGAGTGGCTTGATAAGTTTGCCATTGTTTATTTGGATGATATCTTAATTTTTAGCAAGAATCTA